GAGGAGGAGGAGGAGGAGGAGGAGAAGAAGAAGAAGAAGAAGAAGAAGAAGAAGAAGAAGAAGAAGAAGAAGAAGAAGAAGAAGAAGAAGAAGACGACGACGACCCTGGCCTAGTGATCACTTCCTTAAAATTTTCAGATGACTTACTTTATTTTTAAAATTGTTCATATTATGTTATTGGTTATTAAGATATCAGTTTTGATACTGTACTGTAACTCATTGTTAGATAAAGTACATCTGTATGTGTGTCAGGTGATATAGGTGTTGTTAGTTTTAATGCTATCACTTGCTAGCCTTGTATTTTTGCTTGAGACATCTAGCTCACTTAGCCTCAATTTCCAATTTCCTTAAAAGAGGAAATAAGAACATCTGCCACTGGGATTTTTTTTTCAAGAATTAAATGAAGTACAAAATATTTTCCACATAAAAAGTACTGTGCTCTGAGGGAACAAATATGTGATTTTTTTTAAAGGACATATGCAAATATTCACTCGCTTGGTGACTTTTTAAAGATTTATTTTTATTATGTGTATGCATATGTTTCTGCCTGAGTATATGATGCATTCATGCACATGTTCAGGAGATGAAAAAAGGGCACCAGACCCCGTGGAGCTGGAGTTAAAGCATATGTGAGCCGCCTGATGTGGTTGCTAAGAATTGACTGCTGAGCCAAGGAGTGGTGGCATAGACCTTTAAACCCAGCACTTGGCAGGGAGGCAGAGACAGGCACAACTCTGCAAGTTCAAGGCCAACCTGGTCTACAGAGTGAGTTCCAGGACAGGCTACAAAGCTACAGAGAAACCCAGTCTTGAAAAAATAAAAAAAAATTAAAAAAGAATTAGCCATCTTTCCAGCCTTCAATTTGGTCAATTTTCAAAGTACTCACAGAGGCAAATTATTAACATTGAAAGTATATAAATAACTGTAATAAACCCATATATGTTTTAACTTCTACTTCAACTTATAATTCATTTAAATATATGTTTACGATAAGAATTTTAGTTTTTCAGATATGAATTAAGAGATGAAATTTCATAATTATATATTCCAACCTGATAATTATTAAGCACTTGATTTTTCAGGAAAATAACTCTAGGTATCACAGGACTTTAGAACTTCCCAGTTAAATTATATTTTCTTCATTCATAAATAAGTGCCGTTTATACATCAGGCCTTGCACTCAGCACTGGAACAAAGTAGACATTGCTCAGTCATGACAGAGCATAAATTATAATCAATGCAACTTAATTTTGAGTTGTTTTGGAGTATTCTAATCCATTGAAAGTACAAGTAATCAGAATATTTAATAACTCAGGGCAGTCCATTCATAAAACAAGAAGAAATTTATTGTATTAATGTTTTTTTACAGCTTAGCTCATTTTTGTTATATATCAGTATAACAACAGACTAGGCAATTTATGAAAGATAAAGATTTATTTAGCTCGTAGTTCTGTGGTATAAAATGTCTACAATAATGTTACTGGCATTTGATAAGGGCTTTCTCTGTCAGTGAATCATGAAAAGGTAAATCAAACTTGTCAGAGAAGAAACAGCCTCTCTGGTGATAAGCCAACCCATTCACAAAGGCAAAGACCTCATGACCTAATAATCTTCCAGGAGTCCTATCTACAAATACCACTAGCCTGTCAACTTGAAAATTAAAATTTTAACAATTGAAATTTGGGGGAGATATTAAAACCACAGCAATGGTGATTTAAAAAAGAAACCCTACTTATTTTGACATGTTATAGACACTACTATCCAAATAATGGCAAGTATCATACAAGCTTGCCTATTTAGAATCTAACAATTGGGGCTGAAGATGTGGCTTAGCAGTTGCAAGT